GAGCTGGAGGAGGAAGAGGAGGCCGAGCTGGAGGCCGCTGCCGGTGGCGTGAACTGCCCACTGCTCTCGGAGCCCGAGCTCTCCCGGGCTGGCGAGGATTTCTTCTTGGCCGGGCGGCTCTTGGCCCCGCCGCCGCTCTGCTGCTGCTGCCGGCACTTGGCACGGCGGTTCTTGAACCAGACCTGGAGGGAGAAAACGGGGTGCAGGGCAGCAAGGAGGGGTGGTGGGGTGAGCAGGGGGCCCAGAGAGCCCCAGAAGGGGCTCTTCGCTCTGTGAGAACCCAACCAACCTCACCCTGGCACCAGTTCTGAGAGCACCTGCACCCAGCCATCAGCACATCCCCCCACACCCCCAAATAAAAAAACCCACCCCGGTCTAACACCCAGGCCACACCACATCCTGCCAAAAGCAAGGATGACCAGGGTCAATGGCTGAGGTGTCCCAGCTCGTGCATATCCCTGTCATGGTGACAAAATATGGTTTTGGGGGACAGATCCTGCGTTGGGTGCTGCCTGCATATTCCAACCCTTTGGGTATCTGGGGAACAGTGCCCAGAGGAAGTACCTCTAGGAAGCACTCAGGTAGTGGGGCTGCTGTGCTCTGGGGTAGGTGGAGTGTGACACAAAAATATTAATAAAAATAATGTTATCGCAAGAGGATAATAAATAAAAATAAATGCCCCGTCTTCGGCTGAATGGGACAAACAAGTGGACCGAAGCCCACATGCACCCCTGTCCCAAGGAAACAGGGATGAGTGTGGACGGAACACTCAGTCTGAGTGGCGCCAGCTGAGCTGGGACGTCCCTGCATCCCCCCAACCCACAGCCATGCAGGATTCCCCCACGCAGGTCCGGTACCTGGACTCGGGATTCGGGCAGGTTGATCTTCAGGGCGACTTCCTCCCGCATGAAGATGTCCGGGTAGCGGGTCTTGGCAAAGAGAGCCTCCAGCACATCCAACTGCGAGCGGGTGAAGGTGGTGCGTTCCCGCCGCTGCTTCCGTGGGGTGGCTGGGGGATGAGCACGGCCACACTGGTCACGCCGGATCCCCACGCACCTCCCGCACATTCCACAGCACGGAGGGAGCCCCGGGATCCCTGGTGCAGCAGCTTGAGATAAACCCCTGCTGCCGACCCCAAATTGCAGCAGTGCCCCCACAGCCCCACGGCTGCTGGACCCCGTCTCGGTGAGGGCAGGGCGAGGGGTGCAGGGCTGGGGAAGGGTCAGGCCTGGCTCCAGCGGGAGCCACGGGGAGATTTCGTTGTGCCGAAATAAATCTACTTTTTTTTTCTTTATTTAAAACTTTTTTATCCTTAAAAATCGCCGCAAGAACGAAGAAACCCCCGGAACAGGGGAGAAACTCAGCTAAACCCCACTCTCTCCAGCCAGGGGTGCAGGCAAACAGGGGGACCCACTCCACAGCCCACCCCAAACCGTACAGCCCCATCGGGTCCTCCAAAACAGCCTGGGACATGAACTTTTCGCCCTCCGCTTGCTGGAGGATAGTGGAACCGAGGGGAGAAGGGGAGGGGGGCGCAGGCGAGGCCCGTGGTACTCACCCGGATACCCCACGGAGGGATGAAGCAGGTCCATGGCGGGGCCCGTCAGCCCCAGCCCATTCATGCCGTAAGGGGGCTGTTTGAGGTAAGACATCATGCTAAAAGCCGGGCAGTTTCTTCCAAAGTCCCGCAGAAAAAAAAAAAAACGAACCCAATTCAAAATCAAATCAAATGTATGGGGTGGGAAGGGGGAAAAAGAAGGGAAGGAAAAAAAAAAAAAGCCGATAAAAAGTAGCCCGGAAAAAACCAAACAAGAGGCAAAAAAAAAAAAAAAATTAAAAGCCAACGATAATTTAAAAACAGAGCAGAAAATCAGCGTGAAAGGACTTTTTTTCGTTCCGTCCCGCCGTCACCGCCGCGAGGTCCTCGAGTGATCGCAGGTGAAGTGAGGGAAAAATAAAAATGAAAGAGAAAAAAAATTTTAAAATAATAACGACGATCGGGAAACGGGCGGATTTCTTCCCCGCACAGAGGCGAGGCCGGAGCGCCTGGGAAGAGAGCAGAGAGAAGCGGGTGAGGCTCCGGCCGCCCCGAGTCCTGCCGGGGGGCGCCCGGAGCTCCCGCAGGTCTTGCGCCCACCCGGCGCGGGGACACCGGGCGGGCGGCTTCCGATTGTTAATTTTATTATTATTTTTTTAAACGAAGGCGAGTTGCGCGCAAGTGCCGAGAGGCAACAGTGCCCGGCGATCGGGAGAGATAAAGCAATTATTTAAAAAGATAATTGGATTAGGAATCAAAAGGAGGTATCAGAGGAGGGAAGTATAATTAATTTAAAAGCGAGCAGACGGGGACGTTTTAATTAGAAATGGATAAGAGTTAAAAAGGGGAAAAGGAAAA